ATGAGGTGAGGAGAGGTGATGAGATTTAGAAAAATGATGGGACCCCTCATGTAAATTAAGAGCGGGAAAATTAAGATGTTTGGGGTAGAGATGTCGCTTGATACCCGGGTACCTGTAGCGGGTGCGGGTACCTGCCTCAAAAATCCAATATTTTTGACACCCGCACCTGCTAGGGCCGCCAGGGCAGGTACCCGGGTACCTGCGCCGGGTACCTGCGGGTACTTGGACCATTTTTGCAGGCAAATATACCCAGAAATATCACCCTTGAATTTCTGCATGACTTGGTAAATATAAGATTGATATTCACTAGATATATGAGTAAGAATAAAATAAAAATAAAGGAATAAAGAAAAAAAATTATTCTATCACCAATTTGAATTTTATCTTCTCTCTGATCTATCTTTAGCTTTACCCTTTTGCTTGGCCTCATTTTCCTTATTCAATGTCCATTGATGAAGACTATACACCATCTTTATGACTGGATTAATTCCTCCAGTCATCAAGACTGTACACCATCTCAAAGGCCGGAGGGAACCCTACGGCCTCAACAAAGCAACCAGATTAGTTCAGCAACACATGTAAGACACCAGCTGGTGTCCTACATGGGTAGCTGACACCTTTGTGCAGCCCAACACACCCAAAAAAGGGAGTGTTGGACCACCAATGATAAATTAAATTCTTCAGGGGAAGCATTCCCAGGGCGGGTGTAAGGCGGGTACCCGGGTACCTGCCTTTTTTTACCGCAAATGTTGACACCCGCACCCGCACCCGGTACCTGTTTCCGGGTACCTGCTTTGGAAAACAGGTACCTGCAAACGGGTACCGGGTACCTGCAAAGGGGTACCTGCTGACATCTCTAGTTTGGGGTCTAAAATGAAATCTGCAATCCACGCAGATCCGACAGGAAGTCCTCCAATGTGTCGTCTTTTTAAGGCAATGAAGAGGCTGAAGAGTCTTCAAGAGAACAGTGCGGTCAAAACTGATGGTTTTTCTTATTCTTAGTGTCAGCCACAGAGTACATGTCACAGTACCTTTTCATGTACCAAGTAACTGCAACACCTGTACTTACTTACATGAGTACATATCCATAATGTTGTTTACCCTTACCTCTTGTTATCTTATCTCATTTATCTTATATTTATCTTATCTGTTAATTACTTATCTATTAAATACATATATGTTTTATACATAAGTTATTATCACTTACCTTTCACTCCTTTGTCCGTGAAATACCTGTACCACAAGTTATCCCTGTTCTACAGTATTTTCACGGTCAAATATTATTACAAATAAATATGTAAATAGTAGGTATTAAAGTGTTAATAGAATCAATACATTCAATACATGCACTGATCACAATTATGACTACATTATTAGAGGATCTGTTATGTACACGCATCAAGAGCAACTAGTACATTGATCAACTAGTACACAATTATGATGTCACTTACAGATCATGACAAATAATGATCAGTCACTCAATTGATGTGCTCATTCTCCTGGCCAAATCTCCCTTGATTCTAAGCGCTCATTCTTTCCCTCCTTCAATATTCTGGAACTTATAATAAGTGCCTCTTTCACTGATTAATCCCCAGAATATTCAGACACCAGTTAAACCAGTTAACATTTATATTGATACAGTACACGTGACCAACATAAATCTAGTCTAAATCTATTGTTCTTAAGCTTCAGTACACTTACTCAACTTATCCAAAGTATTCATAGCCTTGCTGAATATTCCCATCAAAAATACCTGTTAATCTTCAACTAATTTTGTTAAAGCTTAATAAGTATTGTTAGCCCATTCCCTTTTGGGAATAACCAAATCAATCCCAGGTGAGTCCTAGTACCCTGGATGCCTATTTGTTGAGATGAACACCGAGATGGTCTGGAGACATGTGTTGGATAGGATAAGATGTTCATTTCAACATAAGCAAAAGGAGAGAGATGAGAGAGAAAGAAAAAGAGACATACCTGGAGACATGTGTTGGAAAGGATGAGGAAAGAGGAGATCCTCCCAAGCACAGATTTCTCCAGTATAAGAGCTGAAATGAAAACAAATGAGTGTCACAGAGTGTGACATGAAGGAAATGAAATCTGAAGAAGCACAGAAACAAACATGAACATGAGATGAGTGGTGGCATGTCACAGGAATCTCAACACTATTAATACCTTGTATTGATCCGGATGCGCTGTTGATAGCAAGCCTCTCAGTAAAGACCATACTGATAGAGTGAAACCTCCTCTTTACAGGACTGGTATTTAGCACCCACTACCTAACACTCACCACACTCAAACACTTCAGTCAACTCATAGTAACAAACTTTTACTACTAAACACTCAGGTTAGTTACCCAGAGGCTGACACTTAGGCTATCATCTAGATGTGCTAAATAATCTAGATACAGGAGGTTTAGGTTGTGGGTCTCAGAACAGAAGTGTAATGAATAAAAAAACAGGTAATGGCCAGTGAAATGAGAGTGACAGGCAAATAAGATAGAAGAGAAACATTGTTGAGCAAAATTTCAACATAGGGTTCAGGCTTCTGTTTGTCCAATAATTGAGCAACCTCTTCATTACCTGGCAGGTTAAACATTTTCCACTCTGGACTTCTTCCTAGGTCACTAGGTCACAGGGCTACCTCAAACCCCACCATTGTACTGGCCCTTATAAATACACTCAGATGGCCTGGCCACTAACCCAGGCTTAATTAAAATGAAAATGTAGCCATGGAATCTGGATACTTTGATTGGATCAAACTTGGCATCTATAAATGATCATTGAGTTAAACTTAGGCCACACTTGGCCCCTGGTTCAGTCTAGTAGGACCTTGTTTTTTTAAAAAAAGACCTACTTTGATGTGCACAGTGAGAGCTCTTTTCGCAGCTTTTTGGACATGCAGGTGCTCTGGAAAAACCCACTTCCCACACAGCAAGAGAAAGGGTCACCTTTTTGATGCATTTTGGTCGCACCATTAACATACACTACAAACAATACCAGTTTTGCCACTGGAAAAAAATGCCATTTGGGTGGTGGAAAATAGATCAATTTCCCCAAGGCTTTTTTACAAAATGACTCAGGGAGTAAAAATTAGGCTAAAATGAGCTATTTTAGCCAAAAAATAAAAATGCCTCAAATGAGCTAAAATTCAATTTTAAAATCAGGTTTTTTTTTTCAGACTTTCAGGCTTTTTTAGCCTTTGAAATGCTTGGAACATACTGTAGAAACATACTGTAGAGCATTCACCAATTCATACAGTAGATGCTACAGGTGTGATAGAGGAGCCTACATGGTATAACCCCATGACTATACATGGTTAAACCCCATAGTTATGGATTTAGGCATGTCCAAATACATGCATGCTACAAAACAAAATGAAGAACCACTGGTGCAGAGGCTTAGGGTTACAATTCTGAGCTCTACACATGTGTACGAGTCCAAAACCGCAACAAAATTGAGTGTGAGGGTATATGCCCCCCCCGGGATAGGTTGGTTTATGCTATCCGCAACTGTACCAAGCCATCATCTTATAAATCATCTACCCTCTGTGCAGTCTGGTGCAGCAATTGTACTTGAATTCATTAGCCCGGTTCACGTAGGGCAGTTTTAAGACATGTCACAAAAACCTCACTGCTCGAGGCATAAAGTTTTATGACTAAAATTTTGTCGCTCCTCACTATCCCCTGCTCGTCAATCTCCTGCCACTTGCTCGTACTAATTATTTTTCATAAAAACTCATATCACCCAACTCTCCCCCGATCATCTCATCCCTCGTCATCCCTCTAACCTCTCCCCTTGTCCTCCTCAAAAAGACTTCGGCATTCCATTCATGGATTATTGATCAACTCCTACTCTTCACTTATCGATCGACTGCTCCCTATCGATGATTGACTGCTCTTTACCGATTGACTCCTACTCTTTACTTATCGATCGACTGCTCTTTGTCTATTTCATGATGTCTGATTGCTTATTAGTCTTATCGCTTGTGTTCTTTTTCTTCTCGCTTGTTCTACTTGTGTTTTTTTCTTCTCGCTTGTTCTGTTTGCAAATGAATAGTACAAAATATCCAGTCGTATCAAATCTTTGGAACTGCGGCAGAGTGACGAGGTGCCTTTGGTGTGAAAATTGACGAGCAGAACAAGTTCTGTAGTAGTGAGGTGGACGGGGGGCGGGGGTGGTAGGTGAGGTGATTTGTGATGACAAGCACGCTTCCGTATGCTTGTTTGAGGATTGGTTGTTGCTCGCGGGCCACATTACAAGTTAAAAAAATTAGTGAGGTTTGGTTGCTGGTTGCTCGTTTTGAAATTTTTAACTGCGGACAAGCAGCTACGTGAACCGGGCTAATATCATCTATTCCTATTCATTATGTTGTAGCTCGATTGCTTATGATGTACAGCACTATTATTCCATGTTAATTTACATTCCAATCACATTATTATATGCTTGTGATGGTTTAGCTGCTCAGACCCCTGACACAGTCGAAGTCAGTGCATCTTGTTTGCTTGGCATTGCAATTGATCCTCGGTTGTTTGCTTCTACCGAAAGGTGGGGAAAGTTGTTGGCTGGGGTTGGTATGTACACTAGAAAGCTGGGCAGTGGCAAAGGTGTAAACTGAGCTTTCTCAAGCTGTTTTGGCTGTAGCTGGAGATTTGGCTCGAAGCTCACCATCGTTGCCAAAGATAGCAATGGTTAAGCCAGAAAAGTATCTGCAAGTCAACTTCACTGGGGTTTAAATAGCTCGATTACCCGGTGGGCTTGAAATTGATGGCTAAAGTGGCCCGCGCGGATTAAGCTACCTGCAAAGATACTCTTACTAATATTTAAATATCATATTACTGGATGTCCACCAGGGCCCGAGGGGACTTGCACTGACTCAGCCTGAGCCAATTCAAACATGGCTT